TTTTTTTTTTTTTTTTGTCTGTAATAGAAAAAAAAAAGAGCTTATTTGGACATTCAACTCAGGAAAGTTACTGTCAAAGATATAAAACCTAGTTTTAGGAAGAAGCAGGTAGTTTCAGTAATAGCTTCACTAGCACATTAATACCAGCATCATGTTATAGTCAGTAGGGAAATTATATTTAAGAATAATTAAACATAAGCAGCTACAGAGGGAAATTCCGGGGAGGAATTGTGAACTGAAACGTCAGTGCTAAACTGCATTCCTTGCTCCCATTCTTTCAATCAAAGCATCAAGCTTGAGCAGCAAATTCAAAGACTAGCTCAGACCCCAATTTGTCCCTCTAGAGGTCCAGGATAAGTTTTCTAATAAAAGTGTCAGTCTCCACTCCGTTTTCCAGGGGGCTTGATATTGACGTTCCCTCTCTTCATTTTCCGAACTCTAACTGTGAAATTCAGATGAGATTTTAAAAGAAACAAAATAAATGAGTTTGCCTGACCATGGCAGCGCGAGCTCTAGCTAATATGCCAATGCTATAATTACACTGGGCGCTGATAGATTTGTCTCCAGGCTGGTGGTCAGAATCCAGATGAACTGCTACATTTGCTGTTTTATCATCGCAAACACTCTGCGCTTGGCATTTCCCAGGCCTAGACAAGGTATTGGAATTTAATGAGGCTCCACTCCATACATGTCACCGGGGTGTGTTAGGGTAAGTGTAAGTTCATCCTTCATTCATGGGTTTAGAAAAGACACCCATATGAGTAAGGCACGTCCTACAGGGAATCATGTTTCAGCTGGCTGTTTGCCACAAAAGCACTCCCACTGGCCTAGGAACCTTAGCTTAGTTAATTAGTGTGTAGCCAAAGAGGCTAAAACCATTGGCTCAGCGCTGAGCATTTTTACCAGTCTCCTTATATCTTTCTACCTATCCATTCTGCTAATGGGGGCTTTTGATCACAGGGGGCTCAAATGAGACAATGTAAGCTTCATTTAACTTCATCTCTAAATTGGCCATAACCGTAACTACCTTCCTTACCTCCCAAAGTCATTGTGTAGATTACTTGAGCTAATGTATCTGAAAGCCCTTTGGAAATTATGATCCACCTACAAATGTAAGGCACTTAAAATTATCATTAATATTAATAATGTCTCTTCAGTAATTGACATTTAACAATAATAAAATTAGAGTAAATATAGCCATAGTCCAAGCTAAGGATAAGAGACAACAGTGACTCCAAATTCATACTCTGATTAAAGTAGGACAAAACATTCATCTTTGAGTATGAAATATAGTATTTACAATTGCTTCCCACCTATCACATTTTAATTACTGTAATGCATTTGAAAATAAGTCTAAGTAGTTTTTGTCAAGCTAAGTGTCTACAATCTGATTGTGTAAGGCAAATTGACAATAATACTACAAAGAAATGAAAGTGATTTTTATAAATAAAATGTAGGTGGCTGAGTTTAATTGAATTTTAGTAATGTTTTGAAAACATAGTTTATGTAAATTGTTCAAATGTACAAAAGGTATATAATGAAAATTCAATATTCCTCTGACTGATCATACTGCCCTCCCCCCTCCACCTAACATTTCTCAGCCACCCAGTTCCTCTCCTGAGAGGAAATACCAGTTTCACATATATCCCTTCACAAATATTTCATACTTACACAAATAACTTTGTATGTGCATACACACACATATCATTTATATGTGTGATTTATATATTCATGTATTTTATTCAAAGGATTGTATAATGTGGGTACTGTTTAGAACCTTGCTTTTTCAGTGAACAGTTTATCTTGGAGATATTTCCATAATAGATATATAGATTTAGCTAATTCTTTCAAATAACTACATAACAATATATCATTATATAGAAGTACCATAATAGTATTTAACCAGTCTCTGACGGGTATTTTGGTTGTTTTCAATATTTTGCTATTATAAACAAAAACGAGCAACAACAAAATTGAACATTTGTTTTGATTGGATTTTAAATTCAAATATTTAAATTTTGTTTAAAGTATGTCCCTTATATTTAAAATAATATTTAAATATCAGATTGTTAAGAGTAGCTCAAATATTTAGAAAATGAAGACTATAGATATTATATTTCTATTTATCTATATTATGCCAAAATCAATTTAGAAAAATATATTCTTCAATTCCATAAATACAAGATGTGATGTAGGCCATCAATAAAAATTTATTGGAAAAATGGGAGTAATTCACTAAAATTTTTCTATTTCAAGCAATATGATTATCAGGAAGATGAAGCTAATGTTATGTAAAGCTCTTTCCTAAGCGAATATCTGGTGAATTTGTTATCAACAACTATAATGGGCAATCTCATCCAATTTGTAGATTTTCCTAACCTTACCAGTCATGTGATCAACTTTTCTCTCTCTTTTAAACTTTCTTGAAAATATGAGATGAACTCTCATGTCAGCAGGGAATTCTTTTTTTTTTTTTTTTATATCTTTATTGATTTCAGAAAGAGGAAAGGAGAGGGAGAGAGAGAGATAGAAACATCAATGATGAGAGTCATTGATTAGCTGCAGCCCGCAACCCGGGCCTGTGCCCTGACTGGGAATCGAACCCCGATCGCCTGGATCCTAGGTCGATGCTCAAACCGCTGAGCAAGGCCCGGCCGGGCAACAGGGAATTCTTAAGCCAGTCTATTAACAATCGTTTAATGATTCTCCTAAATGCACAGCTCTATTCTGCCTTCTGTGAATTACAAAGAAGTATAAAACATTTCCCTTTAATAAGTAGAATAAGAAGTTGGATAGTTGAAGCATGACATAAATTTTAGAACAGTGAAAAATAATTCAGGATATAAATAATAGTTTGATATCAGGTTTGCCATAAAACATTTTTTTATCTGTGTGCCAAATTCTCTCATTTTTTTCTTCCAGGTACCTCTCGAAGTTGTGTCCATTTTTTTAAAATTTATTTCCCTTACTCTGCTACCCTGACTCATCTCCACACTGCAGCATTGTTACTGCATCTTAGCTGGTTTTATTATTTTCAAGCCCATTCTGTATATCAAGCCAATCATCTTTATATAGCACTTCCCTTGAGTCTGTTGTTTTTGTTCCAAGAATCCGCAATGGCCTTCTAGTTTACTACCTCATGTCGAAATTCCTCTGTATGTTTCTCTGGATACTCCAGAATTGAGCTCCATTTTATCTATCTGGTTTCAGTTCCAGTTACTCCACATGATAAGCATCTTGCTCTTTACCCCTTTCCACCCAAATCCTTATCACCACGTCTTTCTTCTCTAGTCACACTCTGCTTGGTAAGTTTCTCAGTTGGTGTTGATAATCTTTCCTGCATTTCTTCTTCCTTACTATGCCTTTCCAAACCTTCTCTGCTCCTTAAGGTCTATATGGAGACCATTTCCTTCATAAAAGTTTTCCCATTATTGACCTCTCTTTTCTCCATTTCTTTACCACATTTAGCCTTATACCTCAAATGCTACAATTTTTTATTAGATTGTATTATTCTATTATCTCTTTGTCTTAATGTGATAATTCTCTGTTCATACTCCAAGATTGCATATCTACTTCCTTCTCCCTTAGCACTTAGCACAGGATTTGGTGGACAAATATATTCAATCAGTGTTTTTGATCAATTATTCTAATGAAGATGCTAATGATTTAGTATATTGCTTTGAGAGGTTGGGGTGGGGAGTGGGGGATGATTCAGAGGTGTAGAAGGTTCCATTCTCCAGAAATGACCATTAATTAGGGTTATAGTTCATTAGGAATGTGTAGCACCACAAAGTAGGTATGAAGATTTAATGTTTATCTGATTATACTTTTAAAATCTATATTTCTTTACATTCATAAGCTTATAAAACCACTCAACATAGTGTATTTGATTGATCTTGTTGGAAAGTATAGCTGTCAAAATAGCCTATTTACAGTGATCAATGGTGCTCTAAATATGCTGGGAAATGGATATTGTATGGATAGAGTAACAACTCAAGTAGAAATACTGTCTAATAAATGTTTACACACCATCAAGTCTACAAACATTAAATATCATACACAATAGAATCTTTCCTATCCTATAATTTAGCTCAATTTTTCTGTTACCTTCTTTTATTTTTTCTTCTAGCTTTACTCACAGACAAGCCTCCCAAGCCATTGTTCCCCATGGAGAATCAGCCAAGTGTTATAGATGTCCAGCTGGGTAAGTCCCCTTTTTGGAATAACAGATCCTAAACTTGCTCTCTGTTAACAGATGGAGAAAATTGCATGAACCAAGAAAGGTTGATTGCCACTGTTATTACATGCAAATCAATTTATGTCTGCTCATTTATAACCCTGGAGTTCAGTGCAATAGCAGTTTAAGGAAATGAGTTTGTATTGCATCAAGGAATGATAATACTAATTGGTTACACTGGGTATTAAGTGTGCTGTAGAACAGAGCTTTTTAGCTCGGTGATTGATAGATTCATGGGTGTCATACATTAGTGACTGGTACAGAAAACATTTTATGGTTGTCAGCCTTTTCTTTCATATTTAGAAAGTGTTGACTCTTGGGGAACAATCACTTTTTGAAAAATAAAAGAGCCCATCAAACAAGCCTTCAAAATATTTTGATAATATTGCCAATGGCAGAATCTATGGCTATTTAAAACTTGTTTTAGAGTGAGATCCTAAATATTTATGAATCATACGTTGTTGGGAAAAGTAAAAAGTTGATTTATGGGTGCTGTCTTTTTACAGTCTCAAATAAGGACACAAGATGTTGGGCCTTTTATTGTGTATCTCCTACCACTAATCTTTGTATTTAAAGAATGTAACCTTAAAACTCAGAGCTCTGCAGTTATCTCTTTCAAACCATGGCATTTGCTCTAAACCATGTACTTTAACATCTGTAAGCTCTCATCAATCGAGTTCTATTCTTCAATTCTAAGAATGTCTTCCATTCTGAGCAAGAGAACTGAGTAAATATGTTGCAAATGTATTATTAGACTTACTTTGGGCGTATGATTTATTGAAATATATGACCGGTACCTATCAATGATATAAGCGGTACTACCAATTATATAGCCAGGGATGATGAATAGGTCCCAATATTTCACTCACTTTGGAAGTTTTCGACTCAACTTTTAAAAAATTATTGAATTTATTGGGGTGACGCTTGTTAATAAAATTATATAGGTTTCAGGTGTATAATTCTATAATATATCATCTGTATATTCTATTTCTGTTCACCACCCCAAGTCAAGTCTCCTCTATCGCCATCTACCCCTTGACCCTCTGCTACCTCCTGTCACCCCCCTCTCCCTCTGGTAATCGTCATACTGTTGTCTGCGTCTGTGGCTTCATTTTTTCTTTTGCTTAATCCCTTCACCTTTTTCACCCAGGCCCCCAAACCCCCTCCATTCTGACAACTGTCAGCCTGTTCTCTGTATCTATGAGTCTGTTTCTATTTTGTTTGTTAGTTCATTTTGTTCATTAGATCCTACATATAAGTAGAATCATGTGGTACTTGTCTTTCTCTGACTGGTTTATCTCACTTAGCATAATTCTCTCCAGGTCCCTCCATGCTGTCACAAAGGGTAAGATTTCCTTCTTTTTACGGCTGAGTAGTATTCCATTGCATAAATGTCCCACAGCTTTTTTATCCACTCATCTACTGATGGGCACTGGGGTTGCTTCCAAATCTTGGCTATTGTTTCAGATTTCCTCGGATATATTTCCAGGACTGGAATCTCTGGGTCATAAGGCAGCTCCATTTTTAATTTTTTGAAGAAACTCCATTCTGTTTTCCACAGCAGCTGCACCAGTCTGCATTCCCACCAACAGCGCACAAGGGTTCCATTTCCTCCACACCCTCGCCAGCATTTGTTGTTTTGTTGATTTGTTGATGGCAGCCACTCTGGCAGGTGTGAGGTGATACCTCATTTTAGTTTTAATTTGCATCTCTGATGATTAATGATGTTTAGCATTTTTTCATATGTCTCTTGGCCATCTGTATGTCCTCTTTGGAGAAGTGTCTATTTAGATCCTTTGACGTTTTTAATTGGATTATCTTCCTGGTGTTGAGTTGTTTAAGTTCTTTATACATTTTGGATATCAACCCCTTATCAGATGTATCATTGGTAAATGTTCTTTCATTCACTGGGTTGTCTTTTCATTTTGTTGATGGTTTCCTTTGCTGTGCAAAAGTTTTTAGTTTGATGTAGTCCCATTTGTTTATTTTCTCTTTTTGTTTCCCTTTCCTGGGGCGATATTATTAGAAAAAAATATTGCTACGAGAAATGTCCGAGATTTTACTGCCTGTTTTCTTCTAGGATGTTTATGGTTTCAAGTCTAACATTTAAGTCTTTAATCATTTTTGAGTTTATTCTTGTGTATGGTGTAAGAAGGTGGTCGGGTTTCATTTTTTTGCACATATCAGTGCAATTTCCCCCACACCATTTATTGAATAGACTGTCTTTACACCATTGTATGTTTTTGCTTCTTTTGTCAAATTTTAACTTACCATAAAGTCATGGGTATTTTTGGGCTCTCTCTTCTGTTCCATTGAGCTATATGTCTGTTTTTATGCCAGTACCATGCTGTTTTGATTATGATGGCCTTGTAGTACAGTTTGATATCAGGTAGCGTGATTCCTCCAACTTTGTTCTTCTTTTTCAAGATTGCTGTGGCTGTTAAGGGTCTTTTGTCATTCCATATAAATTTTTGGATTACTTCTTGTTCAGTGAAATATGGTATGTTGATAGGAATTGTGTTGAATCTATAGGTTGTTTTGCATAGTATGGACATTTTAATTATGTTAATTCTTCCTACCCGTGAACACAGTATATACTTCCAATCATCTGTATCTTCTTCAATTTCTTTCTTCAGTGACTCAGGTTTTGATCTTTCTAATTTAACTTGGATTTTTAGAGGCTTGTTGCTATCTTGAAATAGGTGAGAGAACATTACATTCCTAAGAGCTTGTTTATTTTTCTAAAATGAAATATGGCACATTGTAGTTAATGCAGCCTTGAAGTGAAAGTACTAAAATTAAGTGTTTTAAAACAAAAAGAAGGGAAAATAATAAACATGTTGTCAAGAGTAGACTGTCGGAATGATAAATATCTTGTAGGTAATGTTGAAGCCTTAGACTATGGCTATCCCTCCACCACTTGTATTATTTTGCACTCATTACATATTGTTGAAGGCAAATCTAGATAGACTGACCCCCCCCCAAAGTAATTTTTATTTTTATCTTTGTCTTTCAATTCATTCTGGGATAGAGATACTTTAAGGGCAATCTGTGGTTTGCCAGGGGTCACATAAAGCCATAAAATAATTGTGTGTCATTAGTTTTCATGGAGGTTCAAGTGCCTAAATTGATTTTGTATGAAAATTTACATATTAAACAGTAGAAAGCAAAATTCATACAACTACTTCAAATAAAACATGAGTAAATTTTGTGTTTGTGGCACTGAGTGAATACTTCTTTCTTCTCTGCAATTAGGCAGACTTCAACAGAGAAGTCTGAGCAGTATTTCTCTAAAGCAAGGAAAGAGACCTTTGTAGGGAGTACATTTTAGTTAGATGTACTGATTGTACCACTTACATATGTTCCATTTAGGACATCTCTAAGACATGTATTTTATAAAAACATGTATTTCAACATAGGTATATATCTCAATATAACCCACTACCTACACCACCCTGTAAAATTACTAAAGTAATTTTCTTCCAATTTACATTAGATGCAACACTGAACTTTTAATTTTTTAGTTTTTAACACAATTTGGAAACAACTTTATTGACAGAAAGTTGGAGACCTGCCCATTTTTAATCCCAGAATGGCTGTTTCTCTGAAATGCTAAAGTAATCATGTAATTTGGACAAAGAGCAACAAAATCAGTTAAACCAGATCTTTGGTATTTCAAGGAGCACATGAACGGTTAATTTTAAGTGGTTTTAACTTTTCCACAGATTTATTTAACATAATTTATTTGCAACTGGAAATTATTTTGTAACTTGTTCTTATGCCTCAATAGCAAGGTGATGTTAGGAGCATTGTGATTGCCAAAATACCCTTCAGCTTTGCAGTCAGAATGATCAGGGTTTAGAAACACCAAAGGTAAAGAAGGAGATAGAAAAAGATAATTGGGCCAATAGGACAACCCTGCCTGTATGTGAAAAGCTTTCAGAATTCAGTAAGATTATGAAAAGTTATGGAATTCATTTCCTTTAATTTTTAAAGTTTCTAAAGCACATTTGGCTTTAGACATACTCAAACTAGAACTACCAAAAATGACAACAATCAAATGCAAATGGCTAAGCACATTACAAAGGTCAGGTTTCCCAAATTCCAGTACTTAAAATTTGAGACAACATTGTGGTAGATTGAAAGATGTACACAGATTTTTTGCTACTCTTACCATTAAAACAAGGTGTTTCATTCCCCTCCCCTTGAAACTGGGTGGTCCTTGGGACATGCTTGACCAATAGACTATGGCCTAAGTGATCTTCTGGGATTTTGGAGACTTGGTCAAAAGAAACCTTGCAACTTCTGTTCTGATCTCTTGGTCTGCTCTGAAACTAACATGCTGTGAAAAGCCCAAGCTACAAGGCGAGGCCCTAGAGCAGGGGTGGGGAATATCTGGCCCACAGGCCATGTACGGCCCATGAAATCATCTGGTCTGGCCCTGCCAAGGCAACTGCAGGTGGGACTCAAAATTCAATAAGTCTAGGAGCTTTTTTCATAGATAATTTTTAAGTTGATAATTTTGTATGGCCTGTGAATGATGTTATAAATATCCAAAAGGCCCTTGGCAGAAAGAAGGTTCCCCACCCCTGCCCTAGAGGTTGAAAAACCATGTGGAGAATGGGAAGCCAATGAGCCGCAAAGCATCAGACGTGCAAGTGAAGAAACCATCTTGGAAGTGGATCCTCCAGCTCCAGCTGCCCTGGCTTCTGCCATGTACTTCAGACACAAATCTTCTCAAATTTCTCACCCAACAAGTCATGAGCAAAATAAAATGGTTGTCATTTGTCACTAAGTAAAGTGTAGTATCTTAAACAATAAATAACCAGAACAACCATTAATTAGTTTCCTCTAGAAATAGAATTTCTGTGATTCCCATTTTTCCCATGGGCAAATATCCTATGCAGACATTTTATGTAAAATGAGAAATATTGTTGGAAAGACTTGAGTACTAGGTTTAGGGTAGT